AAGATTTCTTGAGGCAAATCTTCAATTGCTGCCATTTTCTCTTCACCGCTACACGAATCTTGCAAACAGCAACGCTTTCTCTTATTAATGGAACAAAAATCATCACTAAAACCTTCAAAATCAAAGCAAACATTCGACAGAGCAACTCTTTTTCTCCCAAATGATGTGTTCCTCACAAGACCAACTCCAAACTCCATTTTTTTTTTTTCTGAGCTTCAAACACTAATATCTGCTGCCCTTTTCTCAACTAACCCAATATAGAGATAACCCTAGAAAAATAGAGCTTTTTTTAAATAAAAAAAGATCATAAATAGTAGACCCAATAGACGTAGTGATTTCTGGAAAGAATTCAACAAAAACATTTATCAGCAGGAAGAAAATTAATGTAGATTGCTGTAACGCTTCATTATATATGAGGAAAAAAAAAAAAAGAACCCTCGCTCATACAGTCACAGTCGAACTGTACTTCGCACGTGCGCAGTTGTTTTTTTTTTTCTTAAACTTTATATTATGAACTTTAAAATTTTACTTGCAAATCGCCATTATAAACATGAGAAATGCTACGATCTAGTTACGGGTCGTTGGGTTTGTAACCGTTAGATTATTATATAATCGTTGAGTATAGTTGATTTAATGGTTACAAATTCTGACGAAAAGATTTCGTAAACATATCTTTTATAAAATTATTTTTTTTTTTAGTTTTGTGGCTGGAGAAAAAGCACAATTATATTATTTTATTTATAAAAAGTAAAAGAACCGCTGGTGTGGGCCACGTGTCGGACTGAGAGTGGATGTGCGTGCGCCAGATGTGTGGTCGTGATGACCTGGTCGGTACAAGTCGGTAGCTTATTTAGAAAGTCTTCTTCCTCTTCCTGTGTACCGTGTGCGTGTGTTTTGGGGAGGTGTGCTAAAATCACAGGTCGTGTTAATTAATTATTTATTTCAATAATTTTTTTTTATATATAACAATAACAATAAAGTAAAAGAACAAAACAAAGTGCTTTGAATGGAATCCAAGGTAGCAAGATAGTGGATTAAAATAGTTGAATTTAAGACGGCTTCAAATGCATATTTTAACTATAGATGCAATGGTGTCATAGTTGAATTTAGGGCTTTTTAAGCACTTGCAACTCAATAATTACAAGTGTGTTTTTTGGCGTTTTCACCCTAGTTGATAGTTCAGTTGTTTCCACCATTTAAAAAGATTAAAATACTCAAAAGTCAAAAGCGTTTGGATGAGATGACTTGAGTCTCTTCCAGCTTAACTAGTGGTCTCGTGTTCGAGCCCTAGGAATGCAGCAGCGTTAAAAACTCTTGAGGGAGAGCTTTGTCGCCCTTGTGGTCCTACCCGGCTCGATTCCAGATTAGTCGGTTCCCTTGTGGATCCGGAAACCGGAAGGTCCCTATACCAAAAAAAAAAGATTGAAATACGTGTCATAAGTAATTGTTTTTGCATTTTTTTTCTTATATATACTAGTTTGTTGTCGGTTGTGTACAGCACAGTCAATCTCAATTTAGTTAAAAAATTGTTTTAATTAAAAAATATGTGAGTAATATATAATTTGTAATTGTTTGTATTTAGCTATATGAATATGAATCTAATGTTACATGAATATATTGAAAATTTTGGAACAACGCAATGCAAAAAATTGTAATATCACACATATTAACAAATTAGAAAATCAAGTTATATGTTCTATTGCAAAAATATACTGTTGAGGGATAAATAATATTAGTAGTTTGTTACAATGGTATTATCTGAAATTATTATGTATAACAAAAAGTATGATACTAACAAACATTTTGAACATTAATAACAACCGACGGATACTATCATACTATTAAGAAAAAAATTTCGTTTTACCTAGTATGGCTTGATTCACAATCATTCGATAAAAATTTAGACAAATACTAAAATTCAACTACAAAATTTGAAATTACTCTTTAGTTCATCATGATTGGAGCTAAAGTTTCATTGTGACAAACATTAGATCTTAACTTTTCATGTGACAAACTCATTTGGTATTCGACAATGACATTATTGTCAACAAATTCTCTCAAAGTACCATTCTGCATGAGTCTTTTTCCATGGTCATAATTTATCTCAACTTCATCGAGCATCAACAATTTGTATGATGGCTTTGGTTGTGTTTGTATAGTTTCATTCTGTGTGCGCTCTCTAAAAAAACACCAACAAAATGCCACCGGCTGAGAAACAAAGACGATAAACACAGGAGTTGAAACCTGGTTCATTTCCAGTATTCTAGATTGCATTTATAACGTTATGCAAACAATTTTTCGTCATAATAAAAGATTGTAGGTGCAAACTGCAATTTGATTTCAAAATTTCAAAAGAATAGCAAAAGAATATGGCGAAAAGACGAGCAGAAAGTGAAACCCAAAATTAAAACATAAATTGTAATTTAGTTATTCAAATAAGTATTTGAAAATTAAAATATTTTTTGATTATTTTTAATTTTGAATATAAATTTTTTTACCAACACCCGTGTAATACACATTCTTATTAAATTAAAAATATTATAAGTAGAATTGTGTGTATTACACGATAACTAGTTGAAAATATAATTAACAATAACGTATGGCAATTCATAAAAATATAAATAAAATTTGCATTCCACCCAATTCATTCTCTGAACTCACTGAATCTCTCCCCCAATTCATTATCCTCTGAACTCACTGAATCTCTCCCCCAATTCATTATCCCGGTAATCTCTCTCTCTCTCTCTCACTGTCGCACACACAGGATCACCACCGCCGTCTCTCATCCTCCGAACCACCGGGCCCCTTTCCGTCCGAGGTTTTCTGTTCGTCGGCGGGGGAAGGCCAAGGTCGGGAAGCGAGGAATCCGGCTAATTCGTCGCCGAGGACGTCGTGTGACGCGGCCGACGCAAATTGAAACTAAAATTTACATTTGTTATAATATAAAGTTACTTTTGATCTCAAATTGCGTATTCCCCAAGAAAGTTTGTTGGTTGCGGATAGATTTTTCTCTTATGTTATAACTTCTACGTGTTTTAATGGATCGATAAATTTTAGATAGGCAATTAAAGCTTAATCCTATACGGTTTTTCTCTCTAAATCTTTCTCCCAAATCAACCAACCCTAAAAAACACTCGTCAATCTCGTTGTCGCCTCCCTTCCTTGAGCTTCAGCCTCCGCCGCGGCGTCATTTTTACCAGGGACCTCAACCCACCTGACGTCCCCTGCAACCTGACGCATATTGTCTCTTTTCTGGTTGTCCTCCTCAAGTGTGATAAACAAAATACCCAAGCCGGCTCCCCCCACAACTAGAAGCCATTCACATACACCTGCCACTTACCGACCTCCTTTGCACCAGTGCACTCTTGTATAAAGTCTGCTAGGGTCCGAGCCTTGATAGCTCGTCTAACTTCAAATTCCACATTGTATTCTACGAGCTCGAAGGCCTAGGGACGTGGCAAGATGTCAAGAGACAGAACCTCGAGCTCACGAGCTAAAGGACCTGAGGACCAAAAAACAAATTACATGTTTTTGAACACAAAGCAGACATACACAAAATAAAAAGGTTCGCAGCATACTTTAAAAAAGGAGGCTCGATGGCCTGGTACATATGATCGAAATAGCAAAATACAGAAGCGACTTATTAAAAAGCCGAGGAATTGAGCCAGAACCCTCGGCCTCCATAGAAGCACCCCCAACTAGACCTGCCTTTTTCTTCGTCACCTCCAACACTGACACCCACCATGGATGGTCCGCAGGAAGCGCGGGGTCTGCTTTCCAGACCTCAGGGTTAAGTTGATCTAAGGATTAGGAGTACGTGAGGCTGGGCGAAAACTCGGTTCTGCTCCTATTTACCTATCACGCCTAAGAAGCTATTTGCTAATCACGGGCCACCCGCAAGTTCTTTATGTGACCGTCAATTCATGCATAAACCGTCAACATCATGAAGGCCCTTGTCTGCTGCGTGTTGTAACGGCCCAACACTCTCTGCTCAATTCAATGCGGCCCATTGAACCGCCCAATGGTACAAACCTATTTAAGATGAAAGCTCAGTAAATAGATGACGCATTTATCATTCATCCCTCGTCTTGGATAAGAGGTAATCTCTCTCTCTCTCACGCACAGTGACACACACACACACAAGATCACCACCACCGTCTCTCCTTCTTCGAATGACCGTGCGCCTTTCCTCCGTGCCGGACCCCCTCTGAGGTTTTCTGTTCATCGGCCGAGGACGCCGGCGGAAAGCCTTGTACCGTTGTACGTCCGTCACGTTATTAGCTATTAAAGCTTAATCCCATTGGGTTAAACGTTGTTTAAAACGACAGAGGCTAATCGCGACCAAAATCTCTCTTTTTTTTTTGTTACTAATAAGTTCTTGTGATTTTTACAGAAAATAGATGTCTCTTTTTTGCTTCTCTTATTTGTTTGTTATTTTACGTGTTTTAATTGGATCATCAAAATCTACAGATATCCTTGTCGAGCAGTGATGAAGGGTGAATGAATAAGCACCTTTCAACACTTTTGGGTTTTGGCTTTGCTTTTAGTTTATTTATTTGTTGTAGGAGGTGCCTAATTATGCTTTACCATTTTGTACAGGAATCCAGCACCATGACAACAAGAACAAGAAGGTAGTAGATGTGTTTTGAGTAATTCTTTTGCAAGAAGTTAAAAACTAAACTTTATTCCTGATAATTCATGAGTTGATCGTTCTCCTTTTGCATGACAACTATTATCTTGTTGATTTGATTTGTGCGATATTCGGTGTAGGAGGGATATTTGGGGCAGGAAACCTACTCGTTACTCTGTCTTTCTGCGAAGTAATATTGTTAACGTTAACTCTGTGTTTGTGTGTTTGTGTGTTTGCTCGATGTTAAATTACTCTATTCGTTGTGATCTACTCTTTAGGAAACTTGGGTTTGTGCATAGGTGTGCCTTGGACTTTGTATGCTCTCTCTTCATACTTGTGAGTGATAACTTTTTTCAAACCTTACTATTGTTCAACTTGCTCTCCTTCTGGTACTGATTTATTTGGCCTTCTCTTTCTTCACTGACTAATTTGTTTATTTCCTTGGATTACCTTATCACCTGCAGCCTGGATTTTGACGGTTATTGGTATGTCATCTTATATCCACCACTCTCATTTGTTAGATGTTTTTTTTATTGTTTGCATTACATTCTCATTACACTCTTAAGATTTTTAAGTAAGAGTTCTCCCATTGCAGGAAAGAAAAAATTGAAGAAAATCGCGTTCGGATGTGAGCATGCACCTTTTT